AGTAGCAATTTTTCAACAGCTTCACGCAATGCTCGTCACTCCAATCATGAAGTATCCACTACATAAAAAAGTTACATAAACTGAGTGAGGCCTTTTTTGGGAAGCCCAAAGTAAAGTCACGAGAAATTATGCTCAAATTGGGCAATATCATACCATTCTCGAGATCAAAATATTATAAAATAAGAATGTATTTAGAAAAATAACCTTCATGAAAATAGCATCTCCCTTTGGAACTTTCTCAAACATGTCTCCTCCCACGTGTTCTACACCTGCTAATATTTTTGCTTTACAAATTATCCTTCAAATTCCCGAATAATAATAATTTTTTTTGAAAATATAGAAATCAAAATTGAAAATAAAGTTCGAGAAGAAATTGTTTACCTGGATAGAATGGTGCATCTTCAATAACATGAGGCAAGTCGAAGTTGATACCTTTGATTGAAGGGTATGCAGACGTGATGATTTTAAGGGTGACTCCGAGGCCACCACCAACATCAACTAGTTGCTTGAGGTTTGCAAAGCCGTTGTAGGACTCGACAACTACCTTGATGACCATGGTGGTGTGATTTATCATTCCGTTGTTAAAAACTTGATTAAATCTTTGATCCAAGCGAGGGTATTCAAAGGCATGAACTCCTCCATGGGTTCTATTGAATGGAATTCCTCCTTCGATCACAGCATTCTTCAGCTCACTCCTGTAAATATAATTTCGATTTTAGGACATTTGGTTCACGAGTTAGATCGTGTTTTTAAATTAAGGTTTTGATAAACTAAGTGTTATTTAAAATGTTCATAATATATCATCGATGAAAAGAAAAGAGCAAACCAGCTCTCGAGAAAGACTTTATCTTGAATCATCGATAACAAAGCACCCAATGACACGCCATCTTCATCGAGAACAAAATACTTAGCCACCGGCGTAAGGCTATACAATCTCTGCTGATTCCCATTTTCATCAATGATCACAGAGCATCCCACCACCGAGTGGGTCGCCAGAAGCCTCAGGATCCGATCGATCATCGACGCCGCATCCGGGTTCGAGGTGGTTATCTTAGCGGTTATCTCAGTCGGAGACAGCTCGGCCCCATTGCCGGCCTTGGCCAAGATCTCAAACAATCCCAGCTCGAAGGCTGCTTGGAGTGTCATCGGCAGAACTGATGAGGTAACCAATTGCATAGCGTAAGCGAAGTGTTGGTGTTGTTGGTCGTCGTCGGAGATGGAGGAAGCTATGGTTGACTGTTCCTCCGCCGTGGAACCCATCGCCGGAGCTCTGTGATGAGGAGGGGAAGCCGAGGTTGCAGCAGCAACTTTTTTAATGGTTGGAGTTAAAGATAGAAGGTTAGTGGTGTGCAATGAGGATATGGGGTTTTTTTGGCTACTCACTTTAGCTTTTTATAAAAAGAAAAAATATATTTTTTTAATTATTTATCAACGTAGCCTTCCACGCATGTATTGGGGTTGAATCTTGTATCATTCATATCATACATGGTCTTAGTACGTATCATATTATAAAACATGTCACAACATCTATTGTATCGTCAAACATGTTACACCATAACATATATCGTATCATCAGTGCATCACATCATAACACGTCTCAAACTTTAACATAACACATCGCCAACATTTCATAGTCATATCATGTCCTAAACATATCGCACATATCAAGCATATGACACGTACAGAACCACAGGACATGTATCATAAGCACCAACATTATTTAAAAAGAAGTAAACATAGGTTCATTTCAAGAACTCTATGATCCAGTGATTGCTTAGGAAACAGACGTATTTGACGTGTTTAAACCCAGCTTTGGTTGCGAGGGCTTCAAACTCATCACGAGTTCGCTCCTTTCCTCCTGGGTTTTGAGTCATCATAAGCACATCGCCTTGGATGATGCCTTTAGCTGCATCGGAGGTCTCAGGCACCGTTGGAAGCACTCCCTCCATCACGATTACCTTTCCATCGTTCGGGATCGCGGCGTAGCAATTCTTCAACAGCTTCACGCAATGTTCGTCACTCCAATCGTGAAGTATCCACTGTATAAAGTTACATAAATACTTTATCATTATCGATTACGATTCAAAAATATTAATAAAGGGACATAGACGATTTCCATTCATATATTAACACTAAAAAAATTAAACTTTTTTTATAAAGATTACGAGTATTAATACTACCCGATATTAACATTATGAAATAAATATATATAGAAAACTAACCTTTATGAAAATAGCATCTCCCTCGGGAACTTTCTCAAACATGTCTCCTCCTACATGTTCCACACCTGCCAACATTTTTTGTTTACAAATTATCCTCCAAATTTAATATAATCAAGCTACTCGAAATTTTTTAAAAGTATAGAGATAAAGTTCGGGAAGAAATTGTTTACCTGGATAGGAAGGTGCATCTTGAATAACATGAGGCAAGTCAAAGTTGATGCCTTTTATTGAAGGGTATGCAGACGTGATGATTTTAAGGGTGACCCCGAGGCCACCACCAACATCAACTAGTTGCTTGAGGTTTGCAAAACCGTTGTAGCACTTGACAACGGCCTTGATGGCCGTAGTGGAGTAGTTTATCATTGCGTTGTTGAAAATTTGATTAAATCTTTGATCCAAGCGAGGGTATTCAAAGGCGTGAACTCCCCCATGAGCCCTATTGAATGGAACTCCTCCTTCAATCACGGCATTCTTTAGCTCACTCCTGTAAATATAATTTCGAATTTAGGACATATGATTTATGAGTTAGATCGAGTTTTGTTTAGTATGTACAAAATTACGATGAAATGCTCATAATATATCATTGATTAAAAGATTAGAACGAACCAGCTATGAAGAAAGACTTTATCTTGGATCATCGATACAATAGGACCCAACGACACGCCATCTTCATTCGGAATAAAATACTTAGTCACCGGCATAAGGCTATACAATCTCTGCTGATTCCCATTTTCATCAATGATCACAGAGCACCCCACCACCGAGTGGGCCGCCATAAGCCTCAGGATCCGATCGATCATCGACGCAGCATCCGGGTTCGAGGTGGTTATCTTAGCAGCTATCTCAGTCGGAGACAGCTCGGCCCCATCGCCAGCCTTGGCCAAGATCTCAAACAAGCCAAGCTCGAAGGCTGCTTGGAGTGTCATCGGCAGAACTGATAAGGTAACCAATTGCGCAGCGTAAGAGTAGTGTTGTTGTTCTTGGCTGTCGTCGGAGTTGGAGGAAGCCATGGCTGACTGTTCCTTCGCCGTGGAAGCCATTGCCGGAGCACTGTGATGAGGAAGGGAAGCTGTGGCTGCAGCAGCAACTTTTTTAATGGTTGGTGTAGTAGATAGAAGGCTAGTGGTGTGCAATGAACATGTGAGGTTCTTTTATATATATATATATATATATATATTAATTATTATTATATCAACTTAAAAACTTAAGGGTTTTTTTTTTTTTTTTTTTTAAAGATGAATTTGACCGAACAGAAAATAGGGTTCCAACCCTACTTTACTTTTAAGACGATCATTTCACGTCTGTAAAGTAATGGGTTCTGGTGTGTATATTTGATATTTAAATATTAAAATTTTAGTTATTAATATGATATGGAAAATGAGTAAATATAATTTTTTAAAAACGATGAACGATAGTTGGGTTGGTTTAGCTTATAAACTATATTGGATTTGTTTACAGCAGTCAACCCGACCCATCATAAACCTAATACACATACTAAACTCGAAACTCGAAACTAAGTCTTTGTATAAGTAAGTAAACGATAAAGAGGATTAGGTGGAAAATCACTTTTAATTATATGACTTTTGAAGAACTTGATGTCGTTGTGTGGTTGGGTGAAGTGCACATACGACAGTTGGTAGGCCCAAAGAAAACAAAACAAAACAAAAATTCTCAAACAATGTGGTGGGGCCCACATATTGTTGAATTGTGTAGCCACCTTTTATACTATACTACGCGGAAATGTCTTTACGTGCGTTACACGTGTTTTGACCAGAAATAAGAAAAAAAAGAATAAATAATTTTTTTTTTTTTTTTTATATTTGCATGAATTAAACTGTCCTTAGTCCACATCATTTTTAATGACACGTCAGCATTGACAAGTGGTTGGTTGACGTGTACATATGAGAGGAGTCTTCAGCTCACTCCTGCATTCTGAAGCCACCTTTATACTTGGGTAATACGTAATTGCATTACTTGCACGTGTTTACACGTGATAATCGAGTTTTTTTTTTTTTTTTTTTTTTTAAAANTATGTCGAACTAGTGAAATTGTTCAGAGTTATTCTGATATGAAAGAGTCCAGGTTCACGTTAATGACATTTCAATCAATTTTAGATTTTTGAATTCAATTTAAATTTCTCTCATTGATATTGTCGTTTATTCTAAACCTCCGTTGACGATTCCTTTTATGGAATCTTCAAACAAAGTAAAGTCTAAGGCTCGTAACTTCTCCCTTTGACACTTTTGTTGATGTGACTAAGCTAAGATAAGTGTATGACTGTGATACTATTTATAGGAATCACGATGCTGTGCATTGGTATGACATTGTCTATTTTGAGTACAAGCTCTCATGAATTTTTGATTGTATTAACAATGGAAATAGTGTCTCTTGTATCGTTAATGGCAGACTGAAACGATTCTCAACAACCGTTGTATAACAAGCATGTTGCAATGAATTTACTATATCTTTTTTAGGAAGTTTTGATTGTTATAGTTCGTATCGGAGCTCATACATTGTAAGTGTTAAGTGTCTCTATAGGCGAGCAACAAACAACTTATCACTACATGTTTTGTGTCACAATTGCACTTTTGTAGCAGCATTACAACGATTGTGTACCAATTATTTGACCTGGTGAACAAGTTAGTCGTATGGAAGTTGGACTTTGTAGACAATCTTGATGTAAAATCGAGTCTCGGTTCACGTTTGAGAGAAATGTTTTAGAAAACGTGAGCGAGAAAATGTATCGAAAGAACTAATGTTATAAGCTAAAAGCAAATAAGCAACAATAATAGTTTTGATAACATATAACTCGAGTACAAAGAATTTACAACTAGTCACATCCCTTGTAATACATCTTGGGTCAGTTTAGACCTGACGGATGTAGATATTATTTTGGATGACTAGTTATACGTCCCTTATTGACACAACAGAAAGGCACCTTAAATATCAAAATAGGTTCATTTCGAGAACTCTATGATCCAATAATTACTTACGAAACAAACGAATTTGATGTGTTTAAAGCCAGCTTTGGCTGCGAGGGCTTTAAATTCATCGCGAGTTCGCTCCTTTCCTTCTATGCTTTGAGTCATCATAAGCACATCGCCTTGGATGATGACTTTCGCTGCGGCTGTGGTCTCTGGCACCGTTGGAGCCACTCCCTCCATCACAATGACCTTCCCGTCGTCCGGGATGGCGACATAGCAATTTTTCAACAGCTTCACGCAATGGTCGTCACTCCAATCGTGAAGTATCCACTATAAAGTTACATTAATACTTTATCATTAACTACGTAAATCTATCTAAGTTTTATGATTTTAAGCGACGAGAAAAATGTCATTATTTAGAAATCTAACCTTCATGAAAATAGCATCTCCGTTTGGAATTTTCTCGAACATGTCTCCTGCTACATGTTCTACACCTGCCAACATTTGTTCTAGAATATAACCGTGCTACTCGAATCATACTGAATGAAACTATAGAAATCAAAATTGAAAATAAAGTTGTGGAAGAAATTGTTTACGTGGATAGGATGGTGCATCTTGAATGACATGAGCCAAGTCAAAGTTGATGCCTTTGATTGAAGGGTATGCAGACGTGATGATTTTTAGGGTGATCCCGAGACCACCACCAACATCAACTAGTTGCTTGAGGCTTGCAAAGCCGTTGTAGGACTCGACAACTATCTTGATGACCGTGGTGGTGTGATTTATCATCGCGTTGTTGAAAACTTGATTAAATCTTTGATCCAAACAATTGTATTCAAAGAAATGAAGTCCCTCATGAGCCCTATTGAATGGAACTCCTCCTTCAATCACAACATTCTTCAGCTCACTCCTGTAAATATAATTTTGAATTTAGTACATTTGATTTACGAATTAAATCGAGTTTGAAATTATTTAGTATATACAAATTTTTTTTGGTCGGAAAATGCTCATATTATATTATCGATCAAAAGATCAGAACAAACCAGCTATGGAGAATGACTTTATCTTGAATCATCGATAAAATAGGACCCAACGACACACCATCTTCGTTAAGAACAAAATACTTAGCGACCGGCGTAATGCTATACAATCTCTGCTGATTCCCATTTTCATCAATGATCACCGAGCACCCCACCACCGTGTGGGCCGCTAGAAGCCTCAGGATCCGATCGATCATCGACGCAGCATCCGGGTTCGAGGTGGTTATCTTAGCGGCTATCTCAGTCGGAGACAGCTCGGCCCCATCGCCAGCCTTGGCCAAGATCTCAAACAAGCCGAGCTCGAAGGCTGCTTGAAGTGTCATCGGCAGAACTGTTGAGGTAACCAATTGCGCAGCGTAAGCGTAGTGTTGTTGTTCTTGGCCGTCGTCGGAGTTGGAGGAAGCCATGGTTGACTGTTCCCCCGCCGTGGAAGCCATCGCCGGAGCTCTGTGATGAGGAGGGGAAGCGGAGGCTGCAGCAGCAACTTTTGTAATGGTTGGTGCAATGAACATGTGAGGTTTTTTTGTTAACCGACGTTAGCTTTTTATAATAAGAAAAAACATATTTTTTTTAATTATTATTTTATCAACTTATATAATTTAATAATTTAAATAATTTATACCACCCGATCTAAAATATGAGTTAAATTGAGTTAGATATTTTTCCGATGAATGTTAAAATTTTAGTAATTAATATGATATATTAGGAATAAATATGATTTTCTTTTTAAAAAAACAAATTTAATAAAAACGAACAAACAGCCTAATTAAAAAATATTAGGTTGGGTTGATTTAACATAACTTTGTTTAAAAACTTCATGTGATCGGGTGGTTGGGTGTTGCGTACACATGAGAGGATGGATTGTTAGGCCCAACCATGTAACCGCCTAACCGGAAAACATTTGCATGTTACAACTCGTGCGTGCACGTTCTTAACTTATTCTATGAAGCTTTCGTTTGTTCTCGATTTCTATCAATTTCTAATTATGTTTCTTTCCATCTCGATCATTCGCTCAACTATCCTCAGTCCACATAATTTCTAGGTCTTTTTTTTCTTGGTCTCGATGTAATCACACATTTAATTGCATACTGTCTCTTGATACATAGTCTCATGTTGTTGGCCATCTTTGTATCCCACACTTGTTCAAGCCGTTACCACTATGGGTCGTTACGTAGAATAGTATTAATAGTCATTGCTTCTGGTAAATGGTGAATATGGGCTAAAACGGATGGATGTCTAAGCGTTAGAGTTGTGGGTATGAAAGTTTTGAGTTCTATATAGTTTGCTTATATCGTAAGCGTTAGATGTCTCTATAGTCGAGAAACAAACACCTGATCACCACATGCTTTGTGTTGCAATTGCACTCTTGTAGCAGTAGAACAACGATTGTGCAGCACTTATTCTAACTCAGTGAACAAGTTAGTCATATGGAAGATGGACTTTGTAGACAATCTTGACGTAAAATCGAGCCTTGGGTCACGTTTGAGAGAAATGTTTTAGAAAACTTGAGCGACGAAATACGTGGAAAGAAATCAATGTTATAAGCTAAAAGCGAATAAGCAACAACTATAGTTTTGATAGCATATAACTGGGGTATAAAGAATTGACAACTAGTCACATCCCCCTATTGTACATTTTGGGTCATTTTAGCGGTGACGGAGGTAGATATAATTTTGATGACTAGTCATACACCCTGGCATTGACACAACAAGAATAGTAAAGTTCTATCTAACAAAATATTTTTAACGTGAATACCAAATACAATTATTTGATTATCCGGTATTATTTTTTCAGACATTCTAAACAAAGCATTGAACTAAATCGCATTTTAAATATCAAAATACGTTCATTTCAAGAACTCTATGATCCAATGATTGCTTACGAAACAGACGAATTTGATGAATTTAAAGCCAGCTTTGGTTGCAAGGGCTTTAAATTCATCCCGAGTTCGCTCCCTTCCTCCTATGCTTTGAGTCATCATAAGAATATCGCATTGGATGACGGCTTTGGCTGCGTCCGTGGTCTCCGGCACCGTCGGAACCACTCCTTCCATCACGATTACCTTCCCATCGTCTGGGATCGCAGCGTAGCAATTTTTCAATAGCTTCACGCATTGCTCGTCACTCCAATCATGAATTACACACTATAAACTTACATAAATATTTTATCATTACAATTACCTAAATTTAAATCTAAATACTTTATCATTAAAACCAGAGATAATCTATAAAAGGTTGATACTAATGCTACGTTTAAAATTTTATTAGTATTTTTTTAAACATAATTTTAACGGTATTTTTGAACCTTTTTTTAAAAAAATTATATTATTAATAAAACTTTTGAAAGTTTACGGGTATTTTTTAAACGGTTACAAAAATTTATGATTTTTTATTATTATTATTAATCCTTTTAAAATTTTATTAGATATAAAATTCAATTTTGTTTATAATAAATAGATTGATACTTAAAATTTTAAATTTTTCGAGAATTTATTAGACATAAAAATAAGAATATGTGTTTAATAAAATTATTACCATCAAATCCAATTTCTTTATATCAAATTTTTAGTTTCTTAAAATAAAATAATAGTTCAATATCAATTTGAATTTTTTTTTTTTCATAAAAAAATGTTTCATTCAAATGGTTAAATTGTCGTAATTTTATAACGTAACTATTCGTAAAATTTTATGAATCTAAAGATGATCGATCAAATTAAAAGTTGCCAGTATTTTAAGATTTTTTTTTTTTAAAAAAAAACAAATATAAAATTATGAAATAAAAAGATATACAGAAAACTAACCTTCATAAAAATAGCATCTCCATTTGGAACTTTCTCAAACATGTCTCCTCCTACATGTTCTACACCTGCAAACATTTACATCGACTAATTGACGGAATGATCATGAGTTTATAATCAAAGAATATTCTCTTCATTAGTACGAGACTTTTTGGGGAAGCCCTAAAGCCATGAGAGATATTGCTCACAGTGGACAATATCATAGAGAGTTGTGTTCGTCTAGCGATAGTAAATTTTTTTGAAAATATAAAGATCAAAATTAAAAATAAAGTTCGAGAAGAAATTGTTTACCTGGATAGGACGGTGCATCTTGAATGACATGAGGCAAGTCAAAGTTGATGCCTTTGATTGAAGGGTATGCAGATGTGATGATTTTAAGGGTCACTCCGAGGCCACCACCAACATCAACTAGTTGCTTGAGGTTTGCAAAACCGTTGTAATATTTGACAGCTGTCTTGATGGCCGTGGCAGTGTTATTTATCATTGCGTTGTTGAAAACTTGATTAAATCTTTGATCCAAACAAGGGTATTCGAAGGCATGAAGTCCCCCATGAGCCCTATTGAATGGAACTCCTCCTTTGATGACAGCATTTTTGAGCTCACTCCTGTCAATATAATTTCAATTTTATGTCGTGATTAAATGCTCGTAATATATCATCAATCAAAAGATCATAAATGGAATTTAAAATTTTAATCAAAATAAAGAGCAAACCAGCTTTGGAGCGAGACTTTGTCTTGGATCAACGATAAAAAAGCACCCAACGACACGCCATCTTCGTTAAGAATGAAATACTTAGCCACCGGCTTAAGGCTATACAATCTTTGCTGATTCCCATTTTCATCGATGATCACCGAGCACCCAACCACGGAGTGGGCCGCCAGAAGCCTCAGGATCCGATCGATCATCGACGCTGCATCCGGGTTCGACATGGTTATCTTAGCGGCTATCTCGATCGGAGACAGCTCGGCCCCATCACCGGCCTTGGCCAAGATCTCAAACAAGCCGAGCTCGAAGGCTGCTTGGAGTGTCATCGGCAGAACCGTTGAGGTAACCAATTGCGCAGCGTAAGCGCAGTGTTGTTGTTCTTGGCCGTCGTCGGAGTTGGAGGAAGCTATGGTTGATTGTTCCTTCGCCGTGGAAGCCATTGCCGGAGCTCTGTGATGAGAAGATGAAGCTTGAAGGTTGGTGGTGTGCAATGAGCATGTGAGGTTTCTTTTGTCAACCAACTTTGGCCTTTAATAAAAAGAAAATATATTTCTTTTAATTATTAATATCCACGTGGATAAACATGATTTTTTTAAAATAATTTTAAAAAATATGAACCCGTTAATGGCCTAACTCAACCTAACCTAAAAGGAGAAAGTTGGGTTGGTTTAGCTTATGAACTCTATTCAATTAATTTGAGTAGCCAACTTGACCAATCAGAAATTTATTGAACGGTTATTTCAAATAAACCTAACACACATACTAAACCCGAAGCTAATTTTTTATACGAGAAAGTAAACGAGGAGGTTAAGACGACAAATAGACGACATGCATTAACCAATTAACCAATTACGCATTGGCAAGTAATTTCACGTTAGAAAAACTTCAGGTCATGTGTGCACGTTGAGGATGGGTTGTTATGCCCAAAGAAAATAAAAGACAAATTCTCAAACAAAGTATTGGGGTCCACAAATTGTAACGGCATGAGTTGCACGTGTTTACGTTCTTTTTTAAGATAAGTGCACGACTCTGATACCCGTGTATAACTCTAATACCACTTATAGAAACAACGACCCTCTACATTGGTATAGTATTATGCAGAAGACAGCACAAATTATCTTCCATGATGATGCATAACTTCAAAAGAAAGACCAAAATAACATAATTAACCTCATAAACGGAAGAATAATTATTCCTCTGACTTTTTAACTGAAAGAAAAGATAAGCAGCATAAGCCAGAAGCATAATGCAACTGCTGAATCTAGAAAGTGCCAATTCCGACTTCCCAAAATGGGCTTCGCTGTGGGTGTAGTTGAGAAGAACAGGAAAAAGAAGGCCCATGACAGCCATTAACAACAATCCTGAGTTGACACCAGCAGCTGCCTACATGAAATTTCAGCTTTAGCACAAAAAGTAGCTTAAAAACTAATAGGTAAAAGGAAAAGCCATTCCTGGGTTGGGGTGAAACTGAAACCTTTATACCTTGTTAAAAGTCTGTTCCTTTTTGTTGAAAACAAGCCCACCACAGAAGAATGCACAACCAAGCACCAGCAACATGTTCGACAGAATTGAGCCTAGCAAGGATAGCTGAACAACACGTATCATTTGATTTTTCAGTGCAAAAATTGATATGATGAGTTCTGTTGCATTTCCAAAAGTAGCATTTAGTAGACCGCCAACTGCAGATTCAATCGTCAAGTGAGTGGAGAAAATTTAACAAATAATGGATCATTATAACCAAATCCAAAAGAAAACAGAATAGACATGAAACAGCTGTGCATATGGAAGAATGGTTAATTGAAAAGGAAAACTTCGCCTAATCAGAATACGAAAGGTTTACCACTTTTTTACACGGTTAAGGGGACGCTTGATCCCCTTATACCTCTGTAATTACTTTTTCATTGATGTGCGTATGTGCACACTAATGTTTTTCCTACCAAATACACATGAGATTTTCACAACTACGATAATTTGTATATAGTACACTACGACAGCACCCTCCCTCCCCCTCTCCCTCCCCTTCTCAGGATTGTACTGATTCAGTAGACTAATGGCAACAGATGAATCAGCACCAGAAGTTACAGTGCAAAAAGAACATTTTTGCAGTTGCAGATATTTTACAACACCTAAGGCATATCATTGAACATACAATCATCATAAGTTATCCCAGTGTCAAAAAGAAAAGCTATATAAACTCATAAACATCCCATGAACAGGTTTCTTAACTCCAAATATCAAAAGAACTCAGAAAATCATAGTCGTGACAAATTGAGATCGAGACTCAACCTGTAGGCCCAGTGTAAAAAGCCAGCTGCCTGTTTCAAGGGAAAAATTAGATGAGCTGCAAAAAGCTTTTTAGATTAAAAAGAAAAAAAAAAAAACCAGTAGAAATTTAGCATTAAATGTGAGATCCTGAAGTCCTTACTCTGTCGCATAACCTAACCGCTCAGCGAACGGTATGATACCCAATAGACTCAGGAAGAAGACCCAACTCTGTAATCCACATAAAGACCTCAACAAAGACATAACCCATAACTGATATAAATTCATACCCAACAGTGACGTCTTTAACTTACATTGTGTCCAGTCAACTTATCCACAAGAATTGCTAGCGGCCCAAAAGACATAAGGAAGTTGAGTTTATTTGAGAAGATTACAATCTTCACGCTCTTGTAAGCAAAACTCTCCGACATTCTCGTACCAACTTGAAACCTTCCAGAACTGATTCATATACGACAGCATTAATAGACAGCATCCTTCATTCTTTTAAGGAAAAAAAATAAAGGCTGCACCCTTAAAACCTCAGTTACTGAACCCCTTATAAAGGTTCTCCTCATCCAACCCTTATATTATTACCATACAAGGAAGCCATACGTAAAAGCAAGAATCCTTCAAAATCAATAGCCATATAACAGAGGAACAGAGAACAAAACATGATTTGCCAATATATTTGTGTTGAGATTAATATAGATTTCCAAATATAAAAGTATTTATGCAGCTGATTAGTTTGAATATCCTATTAATACAAGTCCAGAAAACCTCCACTATATCCATGCACATGTATCAACCTATAGAGAATCATATTTGTTCTAAATTCAAAACTGTACAAAAGGATCAACCACATCACCAACAATTGAATCAAGGTTATATATGAGGTAATCCAAATTAAACACCAAGAGCTGAATCCACATGGACTAGAATCAAAAGTTCAGAACCTAATCCATGAATTCACCAGTCCTCTGCTCTCGATCCAAGCAAAAGAAAACAAATACGAACCGAAATTCGAGGCCGAAGAAAGCAACAGCTAACATTCAAATTGTTCTACTTCAAGCATACAATATCCAACTCAAATTTAGAAGAAGACAAAGTTCGTTGTGATTTACCGTAATTAGTGGATAAAAGCGAAACAAATAGAGGTTGAAAAGAGCTGAAGCGAACTCAGGTTAGCAAGAATCTCGTGAAGAATCGACCTGAATACGAAGAAACCAAAAGACAAGGTTCGATTGTCGTTGATCGACTAACCCAGAACCAACAGAAGAGTGACAAATTTTGTACGTTCCAGAGCTCAAAAATGCTACGACGTGTAAAGAAATCCGATGAAGCTTTATGATGACAGTGCGCTATTCACTCGACAGAGAAGAGATAGAACACCGAATTGCTTCGAAATTTGAAGCGTTGGTGTTCTTCCGACGACTGTCTCTGTGTGCTTTTCACGTCTGTCTTCCAAAGTCGGTAGCCATTGCCACTCTCCATTTTGAAATAATTACGGCAGCCTCCGTTTAAATACTAAATTAATAAATTAAAAAAAAAAATACTTTATCTATAAAAAATATATATATATTTGTAAATATTTGAATAATATCCTTCAAACTTTAAAATAATAATAATAAATAAATAAATAAATATTTCCTTTAATTTAAAAAATACCTCAAAATATTTAAAAATTTTATTAATACTCTTAAATTTTTTTTACCATTAATATACTTTTTTTTTTTTTTTAAATATATTAATTTTTTATTATTATTAATACGGGTAACATAAAGAAAATTTAATTTGAAAATGCTTTGATTCTCGAGTATTGTTTTTCCCGACATTCTAAACAATACAGTGAAAACGGTACCAATAGACAAGCACTTAAAAGGCAATACAAGCGTGAAGAAGTAGACATATAACTTCATTTCAAGAACTCTATGATCCAAAAATTGCATAGGAAACAGACCAATTTGATGTGTTTAAACCCAGCTTTGGTTGCGAGGGCTTTAAACTCATCGCGACTTCGCTCCTTTCCTCCCGGGTTTTGAGTCATCATAAGCAAATCGCCTTGGCTGATGGCTTTCTCTGCAGCTGTCGTCTCCGGCACCGTCGGAACCACTCCCTCCATCACGATTACCTTCCCGTCGTCCGGGATGGCCGAGTAGCAATTTTTCAACAGCTTCACGCAATGCTCGTCACTCCAATCATGAAGTATCCACTACATAAAAAAGTTACATAAACTGAGTAAGGCTTTTTTTGGGAAGCCCAAAGTAAAGTCACGAGAAATTATGCTCAAATTGGGCAATATTATACCATTCTCGAGATCAAAATATTATAAAATAAGAATGTATTTAGAAAAATAACCTTCATGAAAATAGCATCTCCCTTTGGAACTTTCTCAAACATGTCTCCTCCCACGTGTTCTACACCTGCTAATATTTTTGCTTTACAAATTATCCTTCAAATTCCCGAATAATAATAATTTTTTTTGAAAATATAGAAATCAAAATTGAAAATAAAGTTCGAGAAGAAATTGTTTACCTGGATAGAATGGTGCATCTTCAATAACATGAGGCAAGTCGAAGTTGATACCTTTGATTGAAGGGTATGCAGACGTGATGATTTTAAGGGTGACTCCGAGGCCACCACCAACATCAACTAGTTGCTTGAGGTTTGCAAAGCCGTTGTAGGACTCGACAACTACCTTGATGACCATGGTGGTGTGATTTATCATTCCGTTGTTAAAAACTTGATTAAATCTTTGATCCAAGCGAGGGTATTCAAAGGCATGAACTCCTCCATGGGTTCTATTGAATGGAATTCCTCCTTCGATCACAGCATTCTTCAGCTCACTCCTGTAAATATAATTTCGATTTTAGGACATTTGGTTCACGAGTTAGATCGTGTTTTTAAATTAAGGTTTTGATAAACTAAGTGTTATTTAAAATGTTCATAATATATCATCGATGAAAAGAAAAGAGCAAACCAGCTCTCGAGAAAGACTTTATCTTGAATCATCGATAACAAAGCACCCAATGACACGCCATCTTCATCGAGAACAAAATACTTAGCCACCGGCGTAAGGCTATACAATCTCTGCTGATTCCCATTTTCATCAATGATCACAGAGCATCCCACCACCGAGTGGGTCGCCAGAAGCCTCAGGATCCGATCGATCATCGACGCCGCATCCGGGTTCGAGGTGGTTATCTTAGCGGTTAT